GTAGCTACCATTGCTAATGAGGTCTTCCAGTTTTCTTGTATACTCCAATTTGTCCATCACTACAGTCGCATTACCTTTGTCAGCTGGTAGTATGATGATGTATTCGTTCCTCTGTAGTGATTCAGGAAGATTGTTGGTGAAGATCAGAAACAGTGTAGGACCCAGGGTAGAACCTTGGGGATCACCAGTGTTCGTACGGAAGGAACTGGAGGAGAACCAGTTCAGGACAACCTTCATTTCACGGTTAGACAGGAATGATTAGATTAAATCAAATAATACCGTATCCTTGAAGCTTACGTAGAAGGCCAACATGCCAAACCCTATCAAACGCCTTCAATATATGGAGAGCAACATCTCTAGATTCGCCGTTATTATCAAGAACTTGGTATATATATTCAGTTATGGCTGTAAGCCCATCAGCGGCAGACTGGGAAAAGCGGAAACCATATTGTTTGTCAGAGAGCAGATCGTGGGAGGTATTTATTTATATTTTCACATCATATAAAACTTAATTCAGTGTTTTATAATATATTTATAACGTGACTTTTTCATTATTACTGACAAAGATCAGAGAAAATTGTAATTATCTTGTCCAATTCTCAAACTGGTTTGCCATTATCTTTTTCAGATGGAAGAACATCGATCATGAATCGTTGTAATACTGCAGATATGGAGCTGGAGAATAAATTTTTTTTTAAGTCAAAAAAAAGATAAAATAAAATGAAAGATGTTCTAAAATACGCACCATAAAAATATCTTTTTTGCTGTAGAAATATTTTAATATTTCCCTCATTAAGACTGCACAGGGGTACACGTTTAGGATATAATTTAATGACTTTATCTGAGGTGTCTTTTTTGTTGTTGTTGCTGTTGTTTTGGTTTTAAAGAATGGTAGATTTTTCTATTATATGTCAGAAGGTGGACAATAATGGCGTTTCACAACTTCCTATCTTCTGTGTCCTTAAGAAGGTCTTTTATCACTCATTTTGCCTTTGTTTTACCTTTTCTGTAATACATTTACTCAAACTCGTTAAATAGTTTATACGTTGTTTATGCCTGCTTCTCCTGCTTTCAATATGCCCTGTGAATGTTAAATTCTTTCAGACTCTTTTTCTCATTGTTCATCTCAAAATTTTTACCCGAGTCTTTCAGCTACAGATATTGTATTTCCTATTCCCCTTAAAATATCATCATTGTTCACATGTTCTGTCTATGATATTTTCAATATCTGTCATGTAGAATCACGTCTTTTGCTTCAAGTATATTTTTCATCTGTGAGGAAAGCGCTCAAAATTTATTGCCATATAGAATATTAGGAAAAGGTTATCATTAGTCAGAATGTTGGTGAAGAAGTTTATTGTATATAAAACGAAAACAAACTAAAAGGCAAATAGTTCTTTTAAAAATAGAATATATTGTTAAAACCCTTTTTGGAGGAGTTACTGAATTTTGTTGATGTCTTAGAGAGGTTAATTTAATTTGATGGTCGTATAATATTATGGGCATATTCTATTATATTTTAATCTTAATGATGGATGTGGACACTGAAGAAAGCGTTTTGTTTATCATAAATATTTTTAATCATCTTTAATGTTCTGATGTATCGTTGTAGAGTTGTAGTGAGTAAGCAAGTCTCATAAAAAATACTACGTTCTATCCTCACTGGTTGCAACATATTTGTATTCTCGTACTTTTCTAAGTCGAAATTGTGAAATTGCGCATGTGTATCAACCAACAATTTCATATTTCTATTGTTTCACCGCAAATTTAAATTATAAGCATGAACTGATATTTCAAAATGGGGTGCTTTTTAAAGGTATCTTGAAACTAACACACACACGCGCACACAAAGAGAGATGCACATACCAGAATGCATACATCCACTATTTTTCCTTTGTTCTCCTCTTACCTTCCCCTCCTTACGTATCTTCTCAAGAAGCATGTACAACAGCTGCTATTATTACAGCACTTATTATTTTTTGTCTTGTCGAGCGAGACGTGTGGTTGGCATATATATATATATATATATATATATGTATGTGTGTGTGTGTGTGTGTGTTAAAAATCAAATACAGAAAAAATGTGGATCGAAACCCGACAGGATGATAAAATAAAGAACAAATAGGAAACGTATATTAATCTAATATTTTTCACTTTTATCACTGCTTCGTCAGAGATTGAAAAGAAACAGACAAAAAGACAGAAACCACTCGTATTTTTAATTATGTTTGAGCCAATTCTCAACGGTATATTAGTAGCCACCCTCACAAATACCGATTAAACTATGCATAGATACATACGGGCGCCCAAAACTTACCCACGAAAAAAAAAAAGCATCATAACCCCATCCGATAAAGGAGGCCGAATAGTTATAATAGACACCAACGTCTACATTGAAAAAATAGTATCCCTCCTAAATAACGACAACACCTACTCAAAACCAATGAACAAACAGTAAACACAGACACACAAGGGTTCAACAAAACAGTTAAAAAACTATTTAAAAAAGAATAGAATACCACCCCACCACACCCACACTATACGGCTTACCCAAAACACCCGACATAAACATCAGACCCATTGTATCCGGTATCAACAATGCACCCCACAAATTAGCTAAAGTCATTGCAAAAGTCAATAGGAACCATCTTAGGAACCATCAACACAACACATATCAAAAACTCTGGTGACTTAATCCAGAGAATACGAAACGTAAATGTGGAAAACATGGTTATAGCGAGCTTAGACATCAAATCATTATATACCAACATACCCATTACGAAATGCCTCTGCATATTAAGAAACCACTTCAGAAAAGCTTCCTCTTCCCGTCCACAAAATTATCAAAATATGCAAAATAATCCTTAGCCGCTTCTTCCCTTTCATCAATATTCTCTATAAGCAAAAATTAGGCTTACCTATGGGGTCACCTATCAGTGGTGTACTCGCTTGCCCTTTTCTTGAATTCTTAGAATCTGGTCCATTTAGACACATCATACCAAAAAGCTCTACTTACCTAAGATATATAGATAATGCCTTCTTATTATATCCCCAAAATACAAAAAAATATTCGACATAATTTTACAGTTTATCGTAAACCCACAAACAAAAACGATCTAATCAACTTCTATTCCCATCACAACCAAAAAATAAAATCTGGACTAATCATAGGATTCTACCTCAGAGCCCTTAAGATATGGAGCCCGGAATACCTAAATGAAGAAGAGAAATTTATTTAGAAAACCTTCAAAATTCTCCACTACCCACACCATTTTATCCTCGACGCTAAAAAAAACGAGCTTACAAAATCCACAAAGCCAAAGAATATATATACTAACACTTCTAACAAAAAATTTATAATCCTTCCCTCCAACACTTTCTACTAAACTTGCAAGCAAATTAGTTATCCCTAATACTAGGATCGTTACTATCACCAAGACAATCGGAGATATAATTTGGAAGAAAAATAAACCAAACACTAATTCAGATACCGGGATTTATCAAATGAATTGTTTACAATGCAAAAATGTTTATGTAGGGGAGATATCACGTCATCTAAAAGACCACATCTACGAACGCAAGAGAGAGGTGCGTTTGGACAAACGATCTCTCTCTTTTTGCATCGCAACGATGCTGAACATAATTTTGATTTCACTAATGCCACCCTAACTAAAAAGAGCATAATTCTTTAAGGAGAAAAACTTAATAATATTATTACCAATTATAAACATACGCCTAAAACATTACATTACATGACCATCTTTCTTTGAATTCATCCTTAAAGAATCTAACTTATATCTGTCTAATAAAAAGAACACATGCATAAAGAGATCAGTCATAAATAAGAACCATGTGAAACCCCGCTGCCATGAAGATATCAGAAAACCCACTAGACAGGCACGGATACAAAATTACGAATACGTATCATCCGATGCCCACTTAGACATATAAGAATCTTCACAAACTTACATACACATAGAATTATCTACGGTTTTAATGGGCGTGACACGTGTCTGGCCAATGAAAACTGACCCAAACATAATTAAAAATACAAGTGTTTTTGTCTGTTTTTTCTCAATCTCTGACGGGGCTTTAATAAAAGGGAAACATATCAGATAGATATACGTTTCCTATTTGTTCTTTATTTTATCCTATATATATATATATATATATATATATATATATATATATGTGTGTGTGTGTGTGTGTGTGTGTGTGTGTGTGTGATTAAAATAAAATATAGGTTCTCGACAAAATTTTTAAGAAATTTGACATGGAAAACGTTTCATTGAAACTAGATTTGATTACGCGTTTCGCCTTTCTACTTTTTCACTAAGGTTGCGTTTCTCGTGATTAAAGAATGAAAAGAATGAAAATGAGTACTTAGGGAAAAAGTACTGTGATTCATTATTTAAGCATACACACAAATACACAAACACATTTCTTTCTTTCGTTTTGGGATCTGATGAAGCCTAGAAAAGCGAAACGCTTTCCATTTGTTACACACACACACACACACATATATATATATATATATATATATATATATATATATACTAGCAGTTGTTGACTGGGTTTGGAAGAACCAAAATTGTACTATATTTTTGAAAGATATTGATAAAAGAGTAATAAATATATAATAATAAATGGCTGCTAACATTCATGTAGGTGATCCAGCTATATCCATCCAGATAACGCAATACAAAGGACTGCCAGTTTTCATGTAGAACAAAGTGGTGCTTCCTCCAGGCCAATATCATCATGGTTGCATATAACCTTCTGTTCTGTGGTCTCTATATTTTGATCTATAAATGAAGCAATCATCACATATATAACTAAATAAAAGATTGAGGAAAACTATAAACATATTACAATATTCATTTAAATATTACAACATCAATAATAAAAAATACTATTATAGTAATGTTTATTCTCAGTATATCCTGTTACCTGGTTCCTGCATTTCGTCGAGTATTCATTCTGAATCTCCTTTCCCTTACTTCTAGAGTTTCAGAGTGTCTGGCACCTGCAGTCCGCTGAGTATGCATGCTACGTCTTCTGTCAGCTTCTTCTTGAGTTTCAGACTGTCTTGCTGTTGCAGTCCATTGTACATCTAATCTACGTCTTCTGTCAGCTTCTTCTTGAGTTTCAGACTGTCTTGCTGTTGCAGTCCATTGTACATCTAATCTACGTCTTCTGTCAGCTTCTTCTTGACTTTGTGACGCTCGTGAAACTGCATGCCTTTCTGTGTCTTCACTCCTCTTGCTCAACTGATCTTCAGTTTCTTCTGCTTTTTCTCTTCTCCTCCGCTGAGATTGCTTAGGTGGTTCAAAATGCGATTTTTGGGGAGGCATTGTAGTAAGGGTGTAGCAAGTAGTCAAATAGCAGAACATACATATGAAAGATATAGAGCTGTTTAGGTTTGGTCATTATAGGATAAACGACTTTATCAATAATTCAAATAAATTGTAAAGTTGTATATTAATGAAATTATAGTTACTGTATAGGTTCAAGTGATGCCTCTTTAGTCCAAAAGTGACAAAATTTATGGAAAAACTACATTAGGATCCATATTAATTGGATCATTATATAAGATTGAAACAGTAGTTATTGTGTAGGTTTTAGGAAACTAAATTTGTGGTTTCAATCAAATGTTTGTATGCAAAAATGAAATGAATGTAAAAATATGGTATGGGTTAAATTTCATTTAAATCTATGGAAACAGTTTTTTGAGGCGGGGATATGTGCACCCATGGAAATAAGTTAGACATATATAGTCATTAGACGTCATACATAGAATCTCTTTAAAATTTCATAAGAATGTATCCAATGGTTGTGTTGTTTAGATTTTTAGGGAGCTAAGCCCCCACTCCACCCCTTCGAACTTCATATAAGTACCTTGGGAATTGGCTTCAAAATATATCAAAGTGACTAAAACATATAGCCCTATGGTAAAAACTCTGTGATAATAGAGGTTCAAATATTCAAGTTATGGGCTTCCAAAATTTTCAATATAGTGGGATTTAGCCCCCATTACGGTGTCTTGATATCATTGAAATTGGCTGATATTTTGGAAATAGGCATCATTTCAGGTCATTTAGCGAATTTTAAATTTCATTTAAATCGGAGGGAAAAATTTGAGGTGGGGGAGGGCTCCATTGATTAAAATATTATATATAGCATATTAAATCCGCTCTCATGCCGGAAATCTATGTTCCAAATTTCATAGAAATCTTTCCAGTAGTTTTTGAATCCATAGGTACATTTATTTTCATGGGAGGGTCTGCCCCCGTTGCTCCCCTCAAAAATAAATAAAGTATAGCTCATTACACTCCCTTTAAGTGATATCTATAAGAAGAAAAACTACTTCACCGATCTTGATTAAATTTGAATAGACGTATCTACTATCTATGTTCCAGATATACATTTATTTTCAAGGGAGTGTTTTCGCCCCCTTTGCTCCTCTAGAAAATAAATCACATATAGATCATTAAACTCCCTTTTATGTCTACTATCTATGTTCCAAATTTAATGAAGATCTGTGAAGTAGTATGTTTTTCACACTTCATCTTTATTAATATATATGTGTGTGTGTGTATACATGCGTGTCGTATATATATATATATATATATATATATATATATATATATATATATATATATATATATTTTTGTGTGCGTGAAGTGTTCAATCAAATTTGATTCCATCTATCAATATCAGAAAGAAGACAAATATTTGTTTATTTATCGATCCGTGCTCATATGACGCGTTCCTCAATTTATGGCATCTAAGTACATTTAATTTCATGGATTAAACATATGGCTTGTTTTTTCTCTGTTTACATTATGCACTTATTTAATGTAGAATTGCGCATATCTTTTATGTTATTTGTAATTGAGTTTGTTTTTTTTTAAAGAAATCCACATCTTTTTTTATGATCGGCCATTAGAGGAAATTCTCCACCAAAGGAACATAATTCAACTTGTTTTGCTCATTTCAAATGTTTCATTTTCAACTGATATGAATCAAATGTTAAAATATATCCAGACAAGAACGCAGTTGACCCAAACATCAAATAGAATTTGTTAATGACAACTTTTTCTGACTCGTTTCAAAACACTTGTCAAGACTTTAGTTTTCTTAAACTCTAGAGATTTTTTTACAATAATTCTGACGTATTGATCTGAAAAGTTATTTACTGATTCTGATAACCTATGGGGTGTTTCAAACACGCGACCCGCAAACCGCATGCAGCATCTGGACTATCTATCTGCAAACCATGGTGAACCATTTTCGTGATGAACATTTTGCTCAAATGTTAATAAGATTAATATATTTGTCATTCACCCTTTTCAGTATTGAGCTTGATCTACCCACCAAGTGGAAACATACATTCAATCAATTTTAAGACCAGTAGGGTCTGCTCTAATTCCTCAAGGAAGGGAAGAAAACTCAACCTCCCCATCACCACGTATACTTCATCAGTTAACCTGACGAGAGAGTGTACATATACTTTGTAACAATGCCACGGTCTCTTTTTTTTTAATTTTATAAGAAATGAATGTTACAACACATATTGGGGAAATCTTACCTCCACCGAAAACTTTTTACCCCCCCTTCATCTAGGAATCTGATGCGAATTAATTTTAATGTAAGAAAATGCACTTCTATCAGTGGGAATATTGGAACTAATGCCCACCCCTAAATTTAGTTGATGCGTTCCCCTTGTTAATATTCCGGCAACGGGTTTGCTTCTGGTCCACTGCACCTCCTTCTCAGCATGTAATAGTCCTTTTGTGTCCCTGAATTTGAAATCTCTTCTCTATACCATCGTATAAATGAATTCTTGACTTTCTCGCTATTTCCCTTTCGACAATGCTCTTCATCCAAAAGTGGTACACTTTACCTTGTTCATTGTTATGAATCTATCCATAAAAAACAAAAGACAATCAATCAGAGTTTCACATTTAACATTTTCATAGACTCGTGGTTTGGCGCTGAATACTGATTGAATACATTTTCTTTTTTCAGTGGGACTCATTTCTTTTCTATTATTTCTTGTCCCACTGTCATTTCTGTGTCACACTGTCATTTCCAAGTCATAACACCTTTGTTGCTGATTGATGGTGCTTCACCTTTATCCAATAAATTGTCTCTTGTTATTTTTATTATCTAATTAATGTTCTGTGCTCAGGTCCTTGTGTCATTCTTGCTAATTTGATAAGAGAACAAATGAAGAAATTATGTCTTTTCTTGTTTTGTTCATTCGCGTGTGCTGTTCTATTCAGGATTTACTTTTTGTCAGTTGGAATTAAAAATATTACTGTCTGCCGAAAATATGGCAATAACTATTATAGTTATAATACTTAACATATCTTTAGATAAAAATAGGTAACGAATTCAATTTTTTTGGAACTTGTCCGAAATAATAATTCGCAAGATAAATCAACAAATTTGTACTGAAACAATGCATTTAAACTGCCATTGTTTGTAGCATTACACTGGAACAATATAAAATATTCCGTTTACTTTTAAAACTACGATAAGTTACATTGAAAACAGTCTTTGGTTTAGCAACATGTATCTGAACTGGATTTTGTTATAATTTTAAAAACCACGCTATTCAAAGTGGTATTAATATTCATTATTTAGTCATTGAACGGTCTCTTGGATAGGAACCATCGATGGCAAAATAATGGTTCGCATCAGAAACCAAAAATTTGTTTCAGTCTAAATATTTTATCCTCGTGTCTCATAAGAAGAAAAAAAAAATCAGAGTGAAATGGAGTAAAGATTTGAGCTTGAAGTATGTTTCCAGCTGCAGTGGTTTTTCAGTTGCTGCTTGACATGAATCTGAATTTCGGACACGCCTCAGCTTTAAATCAGTGGCAACTCTCAGGAAGAAAATAACGAGAAAGAGGCGAACAGGAATGGAAGAAAAGATAGATGACGAAAAATGATCAAACAATGCTCAAGAATAGCAAGGAATATCGACTGGTGGCATCAAACCAAACGTTTTGGCAGCGATTACCATTGTTTGGATTATGAATGGTATAAATACTTTCGACAAATTTTGTCTAACTTTCAGAAAAAAAGGAAAATTATTTGATAAAGTAGCTGCCGTTCGTGCTAATTAAACAAACATTACTAATGGACAAACATCGTAATTGTAAATCATATGATTGACAAATATTTTTAAAAATAATGAAGTTATATCCAAATGCAGACATAAACATTGTTTTAAAATCTCAAACACCGTCTCTCTTGAAGTTCATCCTTGAAAACTATAAAGGCTGATATAACAATAACATGTGTATGTAATTATGTTTATATGTATACTTGTACCTATGTGTGTATATGTGTACCTGTACGTATGTGTGTATGTGGGTTACATCGCTACACAGGAGTTACCATGTTCAAAGCAGAAACTAAATTTAATTATAAAATTAAATTTAAAATCCATAGCTCGTTCAATTCTCAACCGATACTTGGAATAACCTATTAAGAAATTTACTTCATTTATGAGCACAGACAATTTTAATATTTTAAATTGTTTTTCGGTAAGTTTAATTTTAATGAAATCGGATAAACAGGAAATTTTTATGAAAGGAACTTTTCACGAATGCTATGGATTTTGCTACCAATACTCTGACATAACAGTAGAGAAAAACATTATTATGAATGCGAAAAAATCGGTACCCATACATAAGGGCGAGCAATGGATTAAAAACTTTAATAACCAATTCGACATCAAAATGGGATCATTGGACTCTGCGTAGTCTTCTGACTTAATTGTCTTTTTATATTATATAATCTTACAGCATATCGCGAAATTAGTATTAATGATATTGGATTGTATAGAGATGATGGTCTTATAGTTATAAAGAATTCTACAAACTTTAAAAATTGATAAAATTAGAAAAATATTATCCAGGGAATTTAAATGTCTGAACTTGAAAATTACTGCATGTACTAAATTGATAAAAGTGAACTTCCATGATAGAACATTAGAATATGAATAATATACACCTACCTTACAAAAAGCCCAATACTAATCCTTTATATATACACCCTAAGTCTAATCATCCTCTATCAATAATTAAGCATATACCTTTATCTATCGAAAAGAGAATAAGTACAAATTCAGCAAATGAGAAAATATTCTATGAACATAGTAATTTCTTTAATAAAGCTCTAAAGAATAGCGGCTATAAATGTCCAAAACTCAATTATATAAAAAATGAAAATGAACACAACAGAAAAAATAGAAAGAGAAAAATTATTTGGTATAAATACAACCAAATGGTAAAAAATAAATAAGGAGAAAAATTCCTTGCATTAATTGATAAACATTTTACTAGAGACAGTAAATAAAAATACTCTTAAATTAAGT